TATATATACACACACAAATAATAAGAATCTTTATTTATTAGTTAACACAAAGTAATATACATTTATACATTATAGCGCATCTGTACGGTACATAAATCCCGCGCGCTAAAAATGCTATATATCCTAAACAAATAGGATACACAAGACATTTAGTTAAATAAAGAATAGCAAAATACAAAAACTAAGCACTTGTATTTTGCTATACTCTATCCTACTATACTTGTATATCGCGAAATAATTTTTAAGCTTTTTACATTCCGTATAGTACCATTTTACGTGCGCTGTAATATATGATTGTGCTACTTATTATATTCACAAATCGATTCACATTCAATTCACAATGATTTTGTTAATAATAATTAGTTTAATATTAACAGTAAAAAACTGAAATCACAATATTATCTAATATAACAAAAGCATATACAGAAGTCATTGAGTGCAAATTATCCTCCTTCTATTTTTTCTGACTTCTGTGGCGTATATTTCTGCGCGGCGTATATATTGAAACATAGAATTGTGGCTTTGTTCTTGATTAAGTCACAATTCATTTTTAGATATATGATTTATTAATTACTAAAGCAAAAGAAAAATTTTCAATATATTTTCTTAAATCTTATATCTTTTCTTAAATCTTCCAGCGATTCGCAAACGATTTTTATAAAAAAATGTTTTTTTAATATATTTTGCAAGAATTTTTATTGTGTCTTCTTACTCCTGATATTATCCAAATATCCGTGGTGAGTAGGAATTTTAACGATATAAATTAACCAATAACGAATATATAAAATCAGTATCATAGAAAATATAAGATTTAAACAATAAGTGAATTGGAAATTATCCATGATACATAAAATTACTTACAAGTTTATTTTATTTATTTGTGCGCAGTATCGATCATTATATCCTTAAGTTAAAATTAGTTATCCTAGTTAAAATTAATTCCTCATAGATAATATTAGCTTTATCATATATATGAACGTTATAAATAAAATATTGTAAGATTTTGTTGAGATGATGCATATGAAAACATTTTGACTCATAATCGATAAATTTTTGAATCTGTTCTTTATTTCATTTTTTGTTTTTAGATTCAAGTTTCAGTTTTGTTCAAAATTGATTAGTAATTTAAAGATGTTTAAAAATATGAGATTAGTAATAATTTCTTTTGGAAACAGTAAATCAGTAAAATTGTTTTTTTCATATTTATTTTATTCAGTCTTAATCTTTATAAATCTTTTAATCTTTGTTAATCTCTTAAATTGCCTAATTATTTAAAAATCGTAAATTATTATGTTTAAATATAATTTAACTTTTATGATTAAAAATAGATTATAATTTTTTATATTTTTGTAGCTATAAAACTTAAATTTTTATGATTAATTAATAATTATTATATTGTTTTATTTAAATCTCTCTTTTTCATAGTTTTTAATAGTTTTTCTATAAATTCTGTGTTTTAATTTTGTAATTTAATATTATTTTATGAATATCAGTACAAGTTGTAAATTATTTACAATGATTCACTTGACATCAAACATCTTGTTGTAAGCTGAAAATAAGCTGAATAGCATTCTAAATTAAGGACATGTTTCTCTCACATCAAGTCTCATAACATGTTGGCATATTAAAAACATTTTGCTTTAATGTATATCGAATTTTTGGTTTAATATATATTGTTTAGTTATATAATCAGAAATTATCGAAAACGATAAGACTGCTTTTTAAAACTCTTAGCAACAGTTTGCTTACTATTTAATTCATATTGTTTACTCTCTTCTGTGTTCTTGAAAAGCTGTGTTCTTAACAAGCTGTCTTAGGAACAAGATGCATGACTTGTGAATGTTATAACTGTACATTATTTTTTGGCCTTCTAGCCGTTATTCGTCTTCATTAGCAGGTTATATTTATTTATTATATATTACGTACATATTTCTACAATTTAAACTATATATAAATAAACTTTAGTGTTATAAAGCAATACAAATAAATCATTGCATTATTTATGAGTATATTGATGTTCACATATTTTAAGCAACGTTAACATATTTTATGAGATATAAACATTAAGATATAAACAAAATATCTTAAGAAACAAAATTGTTTTTTATGTAAATATGTATGTAGAGACAAAAATTAGAATAAATAAAATGGCACATTTATTTATTTTCTCAAAATAAATCTCAAAATTTTGAAATTGACTATAACAATTTCATTCGGATTGGTCGCAATCAAAAATCTGTATTAATATTATATGAAAAAAAGGAAACTTACTATTGTTGATTACAAATTTCATTTGTAAAATATTTAATCGAAAATTTTCAATATGAGACTTCAAACTACTTGGTAACATTTTATGCAGTAATGTATCACATAACTATAGATTTCTTTTTATATATTAAGGCGTCGCAACAATATCGCTTGAGGAAAGAAAGAGGAAAATAGCACTGTCTATTGTTTTATAGTGTCATATTATTTTCTAAATGAAATCAATACTTTTTTTTATAGGCACCGTTTAATAAAAGAATTCAATCGCTATCACTATAAATTACTGATCCGTGTATCGCGAGAAGATCGAGTAATGTGAATAATATAGAAGTATCGAAGAAATAGAGAAAATGATACACAATGATCATATAAACTTACGAGAATGCGTAGAAATGAAACAATCCGATTATCCGATTACGGAGCTAATAGACTACGAAACGTACGACAAATTGCCCGTCAGCGTGAAATGGAAAATCCTCGATATATAGTACCCTCGACGCAGCATGCACAGCAAAATAAATTGCTTCTCTGACATTTTCTAATTCCATTCCGCGAAACATGAGCGCTTTAATGTGTATTCGACGAAAATTTCAAATGTTAAAAGATAACTTCGCGATTACTTATAGCATCTTGTTTAATTAATTCCTAATGTCGGTTTTTAACCGATCGTTGTATTCAATATAATAATTATAAATAACAGCTCTGCTAATCGCGAAAAAACAATTTTGCTTTTTGGAATAGCATCCAATCTAGTAGCACATCTTGTTTACTAATAGTGAAAAAAATCGATGATATAGATTGTATGCATCTAAAATAATTTATCTATAATCATTGTCGAGCCATTTTTTCAAATTGCTCGAATCTCTCTTCTTATTTCGTTACAAATTAAACATCAGTTAATATTATTGGTGAACGCGAATGCATAGTGTGCTTTACTGACATTTACGCAGGGATTTAAACGGCTGAAATGCTTCATCTCTATGCTAACGGAGATGCTGGGTCACGTCTCTTATCTGCTCGGACACTTAGTAGCACTTACGCTTATCTTAATGACCAGAGATGCTCGTAGCATTAATGGTCCTCTTAAAATTAGCGCGCGGAACAAAAGTCGCTGAAAATTTTCGAGAAATGCCATTTGTCCAATGCTACATAAGACAGTAATCTCCCGTCATTCTTTTTTTAATGAACTAGACATTATTGCGCGCCCGTTATTTTTTTCTGGCATTATATATTTTTTAATTAAATATAAAATTCAAATAAATTCCATCAATTTGTATCGCATTATGTATATGTCTACTTCGTATTATGAACAGTTGTCGTATGTGACAAATAATATTTATACTCACATATTTTGTCAGTTATAAAATACTCTAAAAAAATATGAGATGAAATATTTTCATACAACTTGTAATTTCCTTATCCGCAAAGATAATTAGTATGTACATATATACATACATATAACATATATGACAGATGTAAATTACCAACTATAAAATGCGCTATCTTCACGATGATAGCCATTCATAAAATAATCATTCATAAGTAACAAGAGAGAGCCAATTGGCTTCAATATATATATTTCAGTGATTGATTTAACATATTTTTTTTAAACAAACTCTTTTTAACAGCGAATAAATAAAAGATTAAAAGATTCAATATAAACACGTACTCTACAAATATCACTTTATAATTATTTTAATAATCTAGATAACTTCAATATCATTATGTTATCAAATACCTAACTGTTTATGTATGTTAATTGTAAACGAAAGAATATTTAAATGCCTATCAAATGCTAGCCAACAATTTATTCTTTTCAAATATTCTAAAATGCGAAAAAAAGAAATAATTGGCAGTAAGATATATTATAAATATTATTTTGCTGTTTGTCGTAATTATTTGCGTCACCATTATTGCTAACAATTGACATCCGCGCGAACGGTGAAGTCATCAAACATGATATTTCTACAACAAAACAAGCAATAGCATAAACTTACAATCACGCAATTTTAAGTGATTTTGTACGGATCAAGTTGCCTCATCAAGTCTACCGTAATAGTTATAGATAATTTATTATTTTTTGTACAAAATCACATACAACATTATAAAATGAGCGCAGATTTCTACTTCCTCTGTTAAGAGCAAACGAAACGATTTGATTATAATTGCATGAGATTCCAGATTTACGAAGTAAAAAGATTTTCGCTAAGCTGCTGATATTAGAAAAATTGTAATTATCTCAATAACGAGCTTGTCTCTTGCATGCTTGTCTTTAATAGTAATAAATAAACTACATATAATCTATTTAAGGCTTGGAGCTCCGTAAATCGGCAGAACGCTTGGTAAAAGTAAAGGACTGTTTTAATAATACCCATCGAATTATTCAAGCGTTGCTTATGGCGAATTACCGACAATTACTCTGCGCTAATTAAAGGTTGAAAATCATTAGTCGTCTTTGAAAGCTGTCAATAAGTGCCGAGTCATTCGTCCTTGCGCAATTATTTAATGAGTTAATACATGAACAAATATTTAAAGAAAAATAATGTTACACAATATATTGACTGTTCTTTTGATCTTTCATTTCCTTGTTTCTATCTCTATTAAGATAGAAACAATTAAACTTATGTTCATATAACATTTATGTTATATGAATAGAATATTTTTTTCTTTATCTACTATCATACTATCGTATTTGCCTTTCGTAGATGGCCAAGAAATTTGCATTTGTTGTTCTCGTCCTATCGATGATCATAAGCACCGTGCTTTGCCAAACGTTTCAATACAGTCACGGATGGACTAACGGCAAGAGATCCGAGTTCCCGAGCTCGGCGGACATCTCTAATCCAGGGGACGAACGTTTCATCAATGGCGAACTAAAGAAATTAAAGATGCTGATGTATGGGAACATCGATGAACAAGTAGGTTTACTTATCAATTATCGTTGGAGTAATACATTTACTGAAATATGATTAATCTGATATTGATCAGAGACAAAAATTGTACTTTAACAAATCTAAATGTTTTCACATAAACAGTAAAGTTGAATATTGAAATTTTTAATTTTACTTAGATTCTGATTAATGTATTAATTAGAATTAATATTTCTCCGCAGCCGCTGATGATTCATTGTGATTTTGTGGATAAACTGAGAAAATTTGTTCGTACGGAAAATTATGCTTCTCAGCTGCGACAAAAGGGACAAAACGAAGATAATTACTGAAATGAACACTTGGTGATGATCATCGTATATTGATCATCGCAAGATTTATTGTTTTGAGATAATATGTAATTTTAGGAACGCTTTTTTAGTTCTAATTAAATCGAGTAAATAAATTATTAATGCACTTAAATTTCTGTCTTGATTTATAACTAATTCGTATCCTTATTGGCCCTTCAAACGTTAGTTACATCTCAAAAAAAGGAGACCATTTGATAAATGATATCGAAACTTAAAATTATATTCATATGGTTATCATCGCGTTTCTTCAGATTAATCTCACCCGATTTAACTTATGATGGCTAATTAAGTTTCGTTCTCTTAATTGGACAGTCGGTCGATAGAATAGATCGCAAATGGTCGTTGGTGAGTACTCGATACAGAGGCAGGGGAGGGGGAGGGGGGATTTTATCTGTCAACGGAAGATGGAGTGAAACCATGCCGAATAGAGACACCCGCTGAGTCGGTGGATTATCCCCACGGACAACTTATCTCCTATTGCAACACTGCATGATACTCGGACTTGTGAGCGGTGGTCCGAGTATCAGATGTTAGTGATAAGGATCGTTTGAACGCGAAAAATAACAGATTAATTTTTTATTCAAATCTACAATTTAGTTAGAGTTTCATTCGCAATACTCATATCTTATTTTCTTGAAATATGAAGCATTCATTTGAAAGTATCATATCATTGTCATGATAATCAGTTCAATTCACGTTCAATTAGAGATCAAAGTTGGCGTCGATTTTCAGGAAGCTCGGCAGCACTTAAGATTATTACTCGACAATGTTGGGGTGCACGTAACTATTGCACACGGCTAATGCGCTTGAAACTTAGCTGTTAATCAAAAACCAATTACGGGAGGCGAGACAAAATGAGTTTAATCGCATTAAATATTAAAACGTTCTGACGATATCGTCACCCATCGCCTGTTTTGTTATATATCCAGTGTCTCTGTTCGTGTATGCACGAGTCAGTCATCACGGGGTGGCACACACCAGCACGTGCTACGGCTGGCTTCAGCCATTTTCCTGTTTTAATACCCACGAGAGTGGCCAACCGGCAACCATCGTGCACCCTCCGCAAATATCTTGCATCGAATCTTAAACTTACAATAATATGATGATCTAAAACTGATACGCAACAGTCGCATTTTCTGACATAGAAGTTTGACAGAATAAATCTTAACTGTTAAAGACAGTAGAGAATAAACAGCATCTTTTTACAAACTTTTCCTAACTTATAAACATAAAATATCTGTTTAGTTCTATTTTAATAAAATGTCTTGCTAATCGTCACAATATCACATATAAATACACATTGCAAAATATATATTATCAAGAAACACGGGTGGTGTTTCGATGCCAAGTTCACGCGCAGCAAAGTCGCGTAGAATGGCGACGAGACGCCCATGCTCTATTTACGCAAGACCCCGGAATGAACTCGGTCTATATTTTTATATCTTAGCAATGACTGCAATGACGATTAAGTTTTAACTACGCTTAATTGATAGCTGAATATCAAATTATATGAGAAAAGTGTTTTTATTTTTTTCTTTGTGTTCTACAAACTGAGATATCGCGACGTAATCATGACACAAAATTCAAATTGGTAAATTTAAGTCCTAGTTGTCGTCGACCGTGACTCTCTTTTTTCTATCGCAAGAGGTGCTAAATGAATGTCTCTCTATGACAATTCTTGCAGCGCTCATTTTCTTGATTTCATATGTCTTTGACAGATGTCCTTCATGTGAAGTTGTACGATATTGTATTGATTAATAAAAAAAAGATATAACGTGTATCACATATAATAATAAGTAATATTGTAATATATAATACATTAAAGAAATAGTCAAATTGATCCATCAAAATAAATAATTTTATATTAAATTGTAAGAAAATATTGATTAAAATTAATTTATATCAAAATGTCAACTCAATTATATAAATATATTTACTTAAATGGTATTAATGGTATTATTATCCATAATCATGATTTATAAGAAGTATAATAATGTTATTTCCAAAAACGTTAATTAAAAAAAAAATCTTATAATTTTTTAAAAATCTTGTGGAAATTTTGCGGAAAAGATTATACATAAAAAATTTTTGAATTTTCCATTACGTTCCTTAATACAAATAATTTTTAATTGTAACTTTAATATATTGTATATTACCAAAAAACATAAATAAAATTGATTCTAAGATTACATAAAATTCAATTTCTACAAGAACTAAAAACAATTCTTCCAAAATTTAAATACTCTAAGAACAAGTTTACATATCGTATATATTATTACAATTTACTATTATTTATTATTAAATATTTACTATTATTATTATTATTAAATATTACAAAATGGTAAATTAATAGAAATAGATCAATTTAATTTGCGTACAATACCAACAACTACAATATCAGTAAGAAGATAATTTTATAAGGTAATGCCAGTTTTCATTATGGATCTATTGAAGATAAAAGAAAATCTGATGGGTAAGAAAAAAAAACGACAAAAACTTGGCGCGCTCGAGTCGCATTAAAACATGTACGTACACACTTACTGTATTATATTGCATTCTTACTGTTTGTCTTTTTTTACATTAATAATGTAAATATTAATAATTTTAAAAAATATTTTAATAAAATAAAAATTTTTTTATATAATTTTTATTTATATAATTTTTTTTAATTTTTTTATGTTTACAATTAAAAAAAAATTTATTAATAAATATTAAAATATGTGCGTCCACACTGAATAATATTCTAATAAAATAAACTCTTAAATTTCTTGCATTATTTATGTAAAAATGTTTCATTAATTAATTATAT